ATTACATTTTGTGACTTTCTGACAAGCAAGTCAATGCGGATTCACTTAACAACTGTGTTACTAATTTAACAACTGTAGTGAGTCACTTAACTGTGACAAGAACAGTCGGAAATGGGACAAAATTTATTTAGCACCCATCTCACTTAGAAACAGAAATTTTGACCTCAATTGTGGCTGTAAGTCGAGAACTACCTGCAGCGGTTTTGGAAGTACCAGTTCAGAGTTATTTGTCTTCCTTGTCCAAAACATATTTTCTTATTATTTCTTTTGCTTTATGTTTGAAATATATTATGGAAAATGATTTCTTTTTGAACTTTACATAAAATATAACTCTTGATTAAATCAATGCCTATTAAAGCCGAGTGTCCTTTAAATGTTGCACATGTTCACATATGAGAAAACGTATGAAAAGTAGCATGACAGAAAGATGAGTGGCAAGAAAAGGAATAAATAAATAAAAATAAAATAATTATCAGTAAAAACATTTTACTGATAAAATTGTAAATACCCATTTTGAAGGGAAACAGGAAACCTTTTTGCCAAACAACAGATTCACTTCATTGTTTTAGGCAAAGATTATTGCTGCTTGAAATTTAGATAAAACTTGGAGTTGGTCTATTTTGTCCATTAAATCTGAATTATTTCAAAATGAGGCCCAGATCAATGGTATTATGGTCTAGATTATGTATTCTTGCATTGTTCCTTTATTATATCAACTCTTACCAAAGGAATTGTACATCATTTGCATGTTCCTATTAAATGTTTAGTGCTTTTAAGCCCAATGGTTTCAACTGGAAAATTGAGAAGGTTCTTAAAACATGTTTGCCTTAAAACAAATGGAACTTAAAAAAACTTGTCTGCATGACACTGTATGACTTACTCATCACCCTTCCCAGTCAATTAACACACTTTGTGGCATCATGTGAATTCAGATGATCTTTTCAATCATTCAGTAGCCATGATTCTTGATCATGGCAAAACAGACTGGCACCCCACTTTCCAAGCTTTCATTCCATGGTGGTACCTTTAGGGCTGGTGCAATTATGCATCATCCTACCCATTTCATTCCTGTTTTAACTACTTCTGACTGTGAATAGCAAAATGATCACGGCTAAAATACAGAGAAGCCAGTTTTGCAGCATCTGGAAGATTTCATCCCAATGAAGGACAATGGCAAGGCAGTTTACCCTCCGGCAAGTAGTTCACATAATGTTGTGGAAGTTGATAGATCAGGAAAATTAGTTTAGCCCCAAACAAAACCAGATCAGATTTTAATATTTCTTGGTTAATTGGGTCAATCAAGTGACTCCAGCTTAGAGTTTGCATCCTATGCTTTACCCACTCCTATGATCGAATTAAGCATGTTTGCAAACTGTATTAAAATTTCTTAATATTTAGTAGATAATGTGTTTCTCAATGAACTGAAACTAATCTTGAACAAATAAAAATACACAGTAAAAGGGATAAATTGCTGATGTAGTTCAAGGGGTACAGTCTATTGCATGGGCTTACTTTGATATTTTTGTTATATTTTAATAACACTCAGTGTGGTTATAATTCTCATAAACTACAAAACAGAATCTAAGCATATCTAAATAATGTAAAATATTTACATGGGTGGCTCAGTGAACTTTGTGAATCTTTAAAAGGAGTCTATGAGCTATAAAAAATAAATTCCTTTGAAATGTTACATATTTGAGCTACAGTAGGTCTGTGGGGTCATTCAAATATAGCATATTCTAGGTTGTACATTACACAATTAATATCTTATGTTATTTAAAGATGTGTAGTTATATTCATATGAGTAGTGTATAGAGAAAGTACAGGTAGCCCTCAAGGTACCTATAATGGCAACTGGGACAAGAATTTCCATCATTAAGTAATGTGGTTGTAGTTTGGCTACATCACTTAGCAACCTCAGTCCCTGCAGTTCTTGTTGTCATTGACTGAACCCATGATGGTTAGGTGAGACAACTTCCTGCTGGCTTCCCATAACCAAAATCAGTGGGAAAGAGACAGGAAATTGCAAGTTCCAGGCCTGACTTGCAAAAGCATGGCACGAGTTAGAAGAAGTGCCATGCAGGCAGGAGATGAGGCATGAGGATGTGGGTGATGCTTGAAAGGCACCATGCAAGTTGGGAGGTTGGTGTACGAGAGCTATGGGTTAGGGAGAGTACAGGAGTTGTGCAAGAGGTGCAGCACAGGCAGGGAGAATGAGGGTACACAAGTGGTTAGCATGGCATGAGTAAATACTAGGGGAGGGTGGTCAGACTTACCCACCAACCTGCAACCATCTCTGCTGGCTTCCACTTTGACTTTCTGTAGAAGCTAGCATGGAAGCTTGCAAATGGTAATTAGACGATCTTAGGGTGTTTGGCAACCAATTGTATGAACAGGTTGCCTAGCACCCAGTTAGCAATGATGTGACCACAAGGATGCTGGGATGGCCAGAAGTCTGAAGACTAGTAATAACTACCAACAGTGCAGTGATGTGCAGTCAGGGGAAGCAGGGGAGGCAGAGCCTCACTACTGTCATCATGAAAAGAAAAAAAAATGTAAAAGGAAAAAGGCCAGGCTGAGCTAGTTGCTGCCAGAGTCACCCTGGATGACTCTGCTTAGTGCTTAACTGTTTAAAAAAGCCTCTAAAAAAGCGCCCTCTACAGGAGGAGCCTCATAGATGTGCCTCATCTAGCCTGACTTTAGGCGTTT